GGATGACACCAGTTGTGTCCTATTGCCTAACTTCATAACATTCTTTAATACGAGGCAACGTCATGACTGTCCTTTACAAATATCGACACTTACATCACAATAAAGCTCAAATATTTCATGTCAAAATTAAAATATAGTTCAGTCTGCAAATATCAAACTGTGCAGTGATCTAAAAGGGTAGACGTACTGTAAGGGGGAAGTTGGAATTCAACAATAAATGACCGTTCTAAGAAATGATCATGACCTCAACATGCATTTTTTTTTGGCCCCTTGCAGACACCTCTAAAGTTGGCCAGCGCTAGCTCCAGACATCTTTACGATCTTGGGTTTGCATCCTTAATGCAAGAAATAATAGAAAATGCTAAATAAAAAGGTGCCCACTGATGTAATCACTTAGAAAACAAAAGGTGCAGATGGCTAATGGGGGACATTAGACCTCCTAGGTAACACGTGCATAAGATCCATATCATATTTGGTCTCCAACAATTCATTATTTCCTTCTGCTTAATAATATATTGGTTGTCAGGTTGTGATGGAAATAGAAATATAGATGTATTTATAAATCTGAATTTGAGGTTTTTAGAAAAATTGGCGATAAGAGTGTGTCCACTATAGTGCAAAAAAGTAATATAGAGACCCTTCAGACCCTTTGATTGGTTGTAGTTAGGTCTGCAATGCCCTCTCGAGGTCTACCAAAAAAAAGCTGCTGCAAATGGCAGCTTCAGTTCTTGTCTACCACCGAAACTACGAAGGAATGCCGAGTCATTTATGAAAGCCAGTGACTCCGATACATTCGATTGGACTCACTCTGCATGCGAAGTGGACTTCAAAGATTAGATGAACTTTGCTAAATATTTTTCACTTTTAATTCCATTTATGTTACTGTTGCTTTTTGTCTATTGTGTAATCATTTTTCTGTCAATATTTTCTTTTTAGCCTTATATCATAACTCCACAGGTGGTCCGACACCTCACCCCTACTCACAATCCAATAAACCATACACCTTAGTATCTTTGGGGTTTTAAGAGGCGTCAGACTCTAATTTCAAAAAGTAGAACGTTTATCGACATGTTTGGTTAAAATCCATCAGCAACATTAAAATTAAATTCTGCCTGCCATTGCCACATAGCTATTATATAAATGTATTTTTAGCTTCCATAAAAGTTATTTAATATATTGTTATTTAATAAAGTTATTGAATATGATGCAGTCCATCTTTGTAAGTAATGCTAATTATTTGGTCTTTTTCCACTGTGGCAGATGTATGTTGACTTCCAACGCGTTTCAATGATGTGCTTCCTCAGGGAATATGAGGCAAGAATCACTGAGTGGTCAGATTATTATGACCACCCCATCAGTACTTTGTTGGGCCGCCTCGTGACTCCACAAGATATTGAAAGGTGATGCGAGGAATCTGACACTGCACTGTTGCCCTTCTGTTGTCTTGTACCAGTCTTGCCACTCTCTGTTCTGCCCTAACATTGACTAGTCGCTGACGGCTACTATTCGCACCTTTAGACCCAGATTTTCGGCTGACAGTCCAGTCTTTAAACACTTTACTGCTGATTCTCTCTCCATGGCTCCGAGTGCCAACAATCATCCCACGTTCAAAGGCTGTTAAATCGCGTTGTTTCCCCGTATCTTCAGAAAGAAATAACTTCTACTGTCGTGGTAAACAACCTGCTTCCCTATTTATAATGGTCTGGCCCTCTAGCAACTTCAGAGCAAAATTATAGCTAATTTGCCTACAAACGTCAGGTGGTCATAATAATCTGGCCACTCAGTGTATATATACACAGTATATATATCATTATTATGAGATCTACCTTGCTCTTACCTACTAAGACATTTACAGAGCAGTATGGATCCACTCTGAAACATGGGGATCTAATTGTCCCCCATTTCCCAGATCAGGTGCAGTAGGACCACAGGGATATATGGAGTAGAGAGTTATTTCTCGATTTGCACCATATGCCATGCGGTAAACAGATCTGTCCACATTTCAGATATGTCAAAGGACACATATTTATACTAACCACTGGTAAGTGTTTCTAAATTGCTCTACTAATGTGTCCCAATTAGTTATATACCATGCCCATGTGTGTGTATGGCCACTACCTTTTGGCCATGTACTC